AGTCTCAGATTCCGTGCCCCAGCGATCTTGGGTACAATTTACCTCTTTCTGCCACGGAATAACATATTAGTAAGGACAAGAGCATTCCTGACTAGGAACTGCATAGTACAGAACTAAATTCGAACTTACATCTTATGTTACTTCTGAATCAAAAAAAAAAAAAAAAAAAAAAAAGACTATTAGATACCCAGGACAATTTCTCTCAGAACAAAGCTACTTATAGTCCTAAAAATGCTAGAAAGTACTCAGTAACTATTGTTTAGGCATGACGGAAAACTGAGTACAGAGAACACCTTTTGATATTTGATAGTTTATAAATAATGATTTCAGGTATCTTCTGAAATAATGGTTTCAGATGCTTGTTCAATTCAAAGAAAAAAAAGGAAAAAAAAAGGAGGTGGTTTTTACCATATGACAATGACAGTAGTTAGTGAGTAYCCATATTTCTATGTGATTAAATGTATTAGAAATAATGGTTTCAGGTTCGCAGAACTGCTTATGTGTTCATTTCTAATTATGTTGATAAACAGCCACCTATCTAACGGAGAAAGGACTGCTAACAATTCACATTAAACTTTTCCATCTACCACAAAGTGACTCTTAAGGATAAAGGGAAAACAGCAGATTTAATGATAGTTTGGCTTTTTAATTGTAGCTTGCATAAATATTCAGATAATTTCCTGCTCAAAGATAAACAAAGGTCTCAACTTTGTTATATAGTGCGTAAAAAATGCTAATCTGTCTAGCAGCTATTCACCACAGCATTAGCTTGTGAATATTTGGATAGAAGGCTCCTTCTTCGTATACTTTTCATTAATTTATTTTATTTTAATAGAGATACTCAACTTGAAACAGTTTCTTTGAACTCAGTTTTCTTACATACAATCTGCTATAAACAGCAAATGCTATAGCTTTTGTGTACTAAGTGTACCTAAAAAAAGTACATTGTAAAACACAAAAATATACTTCATCTAATTATCAAATATTTTATGATTTTTATGATTTTCTCTTTAATACATAAATCCTGTATTTAATCATTTTTAGCTATATATACAGACTCCTACTGCCCATAAGATGTTGTAGGCAGCAGACATTTCATATTAAAATGGCTGGGTTTCTACTAAGACTCTAAAATCTCACCTGTCTCATCATACTCTGTAATCGGGTGAAATATGTCAATGATTTATTATTCTTGACAGAACACTATGGCTCTGACTTTAAGGTCACTATGCTCTTACATTTTGTGTAGTAGAACAAGGTGTGTACATCCTAGGAGGGTGTATACAAACTAAAGGAACAAAGCAGAAGTAATATATCTTTTAATAAACCCTTTGACACTTTCCAGGAAATCATTACTTGGAAAATTAATTTAAATTTTCTAAAARCCTGTTATGTAGAAGAGTAGGAAGGGGATGGATTAATTTGTGCAGCTAGTAGTAAGTATAGTCCTGAACCTTTCTCTTATCAGAGTCCTAAACAATGGGTGGTCTGTTCTTGATCTCAATATACTACAAAAATCAATCAGTTCTCCTGGGTGCCTTTTCCTTCATGGCAGCTTCCCAAGGGCTTCTACCTAGCAATTCACTAAACAAGCTGAAAGTGGTTCCTCCTGGAGTCCAAACTCCTACTCTGCTGCTTTCCCTCCCAGGTTTCCTGCAGATGTGAGCTCCACCACGTCATGGTTCCTGTAAYCCCAGCAACCACCTACGAACACGTTCTCCACCACTTGTTTCCTGTTTGTGAGCAGCTAGTGAAGAACAGTTATCCTTGGGTGCATGATCTGACATTTCTCTGTGAAAACTGTCATCAGCACAGTCTAGTGTTTTCATAGAATRCCTGAACAAGCCTGACTCCCCTCCACTGCAACTTAACATGTATTTACTCTTCTGCTTGACTGTGGTCCAGAAGYTTTCTGCCATCTTGGCCTTTTTTCTTTACTGAAAAGTTCGGTGGGACTGATAAAAACAGCACATGAGCCCCTGCAACCTTAATTTCTAGCCAGAGAGTCCCATAGCTATCTAGGGAGTCAAAAGTCAGAAGAATCTCTGGGACCTACGGAAATATCCTCTTTGGAAAAAAAATCCACAAAGTTTTCCATGAAAGTTAAAAAATATTTTTCTCTTTGTAGAGTCCGTATTTAAATTCTGAAGGTAGATATTCTGCTCTTTAGCTGACTCTCCTGATCCCCATATGCAAATCAGTGCTAACAGATTGTTTACAAAATATGAAACAGTGGTTGGGGTCTTGGTAGATTGTCTTACTTGAGACTTTTGCTCAACTGGATCACAGCAAATCTTTGTGCAAAGTGAAGTCCCAGGGAAGCAAAGTGAAGTGATCTGCATGAAGGATGGCAGTATATTCCCAGACATGTGCCTGAGACAGAAGTGCCTCAGCAAATTATAAATATATGTGCAGTATTTTAATCTGTTCATTACATTGCAGAGATTTCTTATTCTTAAAAAAAAAAAATGGTTTTTGAAAACAAGTTAACTGCTGATATACTTCAACATTCATCCTAATTTTGATTTTACTATAGGYCTTAGTCCCCCATTCACTGCCATCACGAAATAATGCTTGCTCATATACTTGAAATTTCTGCAAGAAAATCTTATTTCCTGAGGAAATTTCACATGTACTTAGAGGGACATCACTATTTGGAGACTTTTGAATATTTAATATGAAGATATTGCTAGCTGGATATAACAATGGGCTAGATATAATAAACGGGCTATATATATAACTGCCTAATGCAAAAAAATAACCTAACTACAAAAAGCTACCTAAATACAAATATATTATTTACAATTTCCCAGCACTACTTGAGAAAAAAAAAAAAAAAAAGCATTCAAAGAGAAACAGGAAGTTATTACTCTTTTCACAAATGATAGTAAACTCCATCTGGAGAACCTTTTTTCTCAGGTTTTGGGTTCAAGTATGAAGACATAGCATATCCACATGCTACTCCATCAATATAGCTAGGAAAAGCATTCAATTTTTTTCCTTTTCAGACACCTACTTCCAGAGCAAAATCTGTATGTTCAAAATTACTAGGAAAAGGTTATTTTTTCAAACTAGCATCCAGAAACATTTACAAAATTTTTTCTATGTAGAATTACAATGCAGAAAAACACTGAAATGCAAACTTGATGAAATGAAATCAAAACACTGAAATGAAGACTTGAATTTGTCTTTAAGACATGAAAACTGAAATCATGATTAGCACCAGATTCTTGATTGCACAAAACTCACAAACAGGAATGAATGAATTAATCTGAAGTAATAAATGTGATGTAATTCACACAGTTGTCCCCAAACCTTACAAAATWAGGTTTTATGTTTGCCATCTCTCCTTTCCTGAGTCTCCATTCTTACCATATACTTTCCACAGTCCATCCTGTCTTTTTTGTTTTCTCCTCTTCGAAACATGAGGGAGAATTCCATCCTCTGGGCAAGCAACCCTTCAGGTTCCAGGGGAAAAGTCTGCTCCTTGCAGCACTGTTTCTTCCCTCCATTCCTACCTCAGCTCTAGCACATCACTTCTTTCCTGGGAAGCACACTGCTAAGGATCCAAAGGGCATGTTTTCTCCCTTTCAACTCTCCTCCTTCCAGTCCAACAAGCCTGTCAGCTCCCTTCTATCCCACACTTCCATTTTTTTTTTTAAATGAGAGGAAGGACCGACAGAACAAGGTGTAGCAAGGAGGGAGAGACAGCAATACCAGAGCATGTTTTTCCTCACTGTCGGTCCCCAGTGCTGTGGGGAGACACAGATGCAGTCTGGAGAACAGGACTTTGAAGAGAGGTAGTGGTGAGGATCCAGGAAGGTGAGTGAGTACAAAATAGATGACAGCAAAAATTGCAGCCCTGCTTCTCTCTCCTCTCATTACACTGACTGTCCCCTGAGCCTGCAGCACTGTCTCTTACCGGGATGAAATACAGAGAGCCCGCAGCTGCAGCACTTCACTGGTTGGCAACTACTGATTTACATCACTAATAAAAGAATAAAATATAAGAATGATACAATGATCATATGTGCAAAATACTCCAGGAGCATTGCCACAATTAACAGAGTTTGAAAGTGTACAAGCCTGTGAAATTAGAATGTCAGCCCAAAAACCATAAACATGTTGTAATTTATGAATGGACTTAAACTTGCAAGATAATGAAATTAGCAGCAGTATATAATGTCAGCTCTTCCTGCAGGGACAAACAAGAATGTGTGTACACAGAGTGAGATAGGTGCTTGATGCATTAAAATAAATGATACTAGAAAGCGTTTGTCTTTCCTTTTTTATTTTTTAATTTCCTTTGCAAATAAATTCATTATTTCTATTATCTCCACATAGCCATTTGTAAATAGTGTTAGCCACCCATTTTAAATAGTTGTGCTGGGTCAACACTTTATATTGCTAAAGTTCTCATAATGTGGAAAAAAAAAAAAAAGGAAAATTAACTATCATTCCCTCATATAAGCAGAGCAAAACTTTCCATGTGAATACTTCATCTTATACCATTGCTTTTCCGACTGTGGGATTTCCAAGATATAGTGCACAGCTTTCATTAATGTTACATAAAATAGCAGAGTGTTCTTCAAAGTAAAATCTGTTTCAGAGAGTCACGAACTGGTTGAGGTTAGAAGGGACCTCTAGAGATCATCTAGTCCAAGCTCCCTGCTCCAGCAGGGACACCCAGAGCACAGGGCACAGGGTGGGATCCAGGCGGGTTTGGAAGATCTCCAGAGAAGGAGACTCCACAGCCTCTATGGRCAGCCTGTTCCAGGGCTCTGCCACCCTCATAGGAAATAAGTTCTTCCTCATACGCTGATGGAACTTCCTGTGTTTCATCTTGTACCCATTGTCCCTTTTCCTATCCCTGCAATTCCCTGTGATCCCTATTTTACCCACTCGTAAAATTTACCAATCTGTTTGGGATCCATGTATGGAAGATGCCAGAGGACTATGATGTGGCACTAGACAAATGGTGTCACTGGCCAAAAATAAGCCCCTGAAGACTCTTGCCACTGCCCTCATCCTGCAATTACAGTGAGGGAGGAACCCTGGAACGGAGGCTTCAGGACACSAGGGAATATATTTGGCCTCCAAGCAGTTCTTGGAGCAGCTTGACCTACATAATTAGTAAGGATGCTGGTGTTTATGTAGGGCTTGTGGTTGTGGAAAATAGAACAGAGAGATTTCTGGGGAATGGGCAACAAGAAAGCCAGTAAAATTTTCTCTCCTCTCTCGCTTTTCTTTTTCTCTCATATTTCAGCAAGATACAACAGGAAGATGGACTTTTTCCAGGAAAATTTGGCTCTCTTGTGATATAATAGGATGTAATTTTGCTGACATCTGCTCAAAGCAATAAAAGAGAGAGAGAAAAAAAAAAAAGAGAGACGAGGAGAGTACTGATTCCTGGTTTTACTGTCAACTCCAATTTGCATTTTTTTTTCTAAATTGAATTCTCTGATTCAAAATTATTAATAAATGCACATCAAAGACATAATTCCTACTCTACATCAGTGTGAGAATACATTTTAGCAGAGATATTCCAATAACAATGTATTTTTGTCTCAGAATTTCTAGACTTTTAAAAGAAAAAAATACAAAGAATCCTAAATTATTTTTTWAAAATGACAATTCTTTAAAAAAATAACATTTCTATATCTTTTTTACTTTATAATATCAAATTAATAACCAAATACACTGAAGGAAGTTTTATTTACTGATTTTTTTTATGAATCAGACTTGAAAATTATCTCACCTCCCAGGACCATACCAGCTTGACAGCACTTCCTCAAGCGACATGCTGGACAGTTCTTCCTACGAATTTTATCAACTATACAGTCATTTCTTCCAGCACATAAGTAGTTGTGCTGCCCTAGAAGGAAAAAAAAATGCAAGATTAGTATGTTTTGTAACATGACAAAATAATTTCTCTGTATAAATGATCTAAAAATAAAAGAGGATTTAAATCAAAATGTACCATAACCATTAAATGTGTCCTTCATTTTTATGTTAACTTTTAAATAACTGTCACTATTTAAATATAATAATTTATTTAGCTTTCTTAGTAGGGATATTCCCAATATATGTAAGTCAAAAACAACTGCACAATATAATGTAAATAAAGCAGGGAGGTAGATTGATTTTTTTCAACCATACTTCTTCTCTATGTGAGTTATTGTCCCTGCTTTTAAAGTAACTAAGCTAATTTTGATTGATGAGGAATTTCATATTAAAAAAAAAAAAGAATACAGTAGACAAAGCAGTGCATTAAAGAGCCCCTCTGGCAGAATAAATAACCTCTGATGGAAAACCAGCATTCCATTAGACCTACCCACATATCACACACTCAGTGAAGGCAAACAGAAGGCTTTTTGGTTTAGGTATGATTGTAGGATTCACAAGACTGGCAACTAAGTTTATTGCTGAATGCTGAAGACCCAAAGCCTTAGGAAGAGGTTGGCATTAGCTTGAGTAAGCATATGAGAATTGCCAGTATTTAAATTCCTTCTTCTCCTTTTAAAAATGATTATCTAAATCTTTGCTTTAAATTTAACTCGTAATTTCTTGTCCTATCTGCCACACTACTCACTTCCTCCTTGTAGCAGCATATTACAGGGCTATCTGTCTATCTGTCAATTTTCTGTCCTCTAAGCTAAACAAATCTAACTTACTTAATCTTTTTACATACTTTACATGTTTTCTAGACATCTGATTGTTCATATATTCCACAATACCTATTACAAATTTTTGAAAAGTAGCTTCCAAAAAGAAGCAGCAGTATATCCCAGGATAAACTAGTGCTAATTTTGGTGGAAAAAAATATTATGACCTACAATGAAAAGTTATTAGAATAATGATTTGGATACCCAAACTGCAAGTGAAAGTTCTCAAGACAGACACAAATGGAAGACTAAATTACAGGAAATGGTGCATTTCCGTAACATAWGGTTTATGTGATTTTCCTAGATGTAATAGATTTTTTATTATAGCAAAAAAAAAGTTATTTTTATTAAAAAAAAAAAAAAGGTCAAAAACCAAAACCTGGATATTGCTTATCTTAAAATTGGGATTTATCTTCTCTGTATTGAAAAATGAATATTTGAAAATAGCTTTCAGCACTAAAAGATAAAATCTAGCTTATGTTCTAACATTCTTTGGATGACAAATTTCAATGAAATTTCTAAATTGTATTTGAAGAGCAGAAGAAAGTATACTGCTATACTTTAGTATGATTTGATCACCTCTATGATTTTATTTTTAAATGAGTAAGCCTAACTCTAGGTAAAGGAAAATAATCCAGTTTTTTACATAATTTTTCAAATTAAGTACAAGTTTATCCTCAACAGTTTATCCTTCCTGTTTGTGCAYATCATACTCTTATTTCTATATCTTCAGTTACTTACCGGTACCTAGTGTGAAATCATGAAAATATTTAAAATTTAAAAATGGGCTAACATAGTAAGGACAAACCACAGGAAGTATCATACCCTGGATGCCTCCTTTCAGTACAGACCTCCAAATAAAACAGATCTCTATAGCACAGCTTTCAAACTGGTATTTATTTTTAGATCAGTATTACTCAGTTAGCCATCTGAGTCCAAGATCATTATTTTACTCAACTGCTGTTAATCAGCTTTGTTTATAGCAAAATTTGTCTTCTCTCTGCACATGATAAAAAGAGCAACTGTTCTTCAATATCTTTCGTACACATCAAAAAACACACTGAAAACGAATCCTCTGAAAAAGAGCAGGAGAAAGAGGAATATTCCAACAAAAAGAGAGTCACTAGCGCTAAGCCMTTTGAATAGCAATTTGTTTATTTCTACGCTTTTAGGTTTTTTTTAAGATAATTGATTCTGAATTCTTAATGGGTAATTCTTACCCATACTTTTAAGAACCTGTCTATTTTGTTTTGTTTTGTTTTGTTTTTGTCTTTTCCTTACTGATATGACAGGGAAATATAAAAATTTGTCTCAAGCACTGTGTGGTATTCGAAAAGTATTTATAAATATAGTAAATCAAAAATCATTACTAAAGCACCTTTTACTTTTTCCCATTGCTTCTAATTTTGTGTTCCTTTATTGCAGGAAACATTAACAAAAGTCTAATCTCAAAAYAAAAGCCTTTCTTGCTTTTGGCAGCAGACCAGGAATCAAACCACTTTGGACATGTCTTTCTCACGATTATAYGCAATTTTTCCTTGAGCTCTTGCTTTGTCTTTGTTAGCTACAAAAGCTGCATTTTGACAGGCATCAACAGTTTTAAAAGTCTGTTAAACTCAGACTAATATGAAGTGAGTCAAACTCTCTCTGTATTATGGCATTCTGATGCTTTATCATAGTTAATTGCCCACATGAACCACATGAAGGGAATGTAAGCATGGAACTGACGGTTAAGTTTTATAGGGAGGTGGGTTTAGTTTGAGCAGTTGTGTGTGTGCTTGTGTCCAGGCAAGTATCTCTTTTGGATTCCTTTTTTGGTAACTCATTGARTCTATGCATTGTTTTAGTCCAGGTAGAGCATGTCTACCGCAAGATCAAAAAAAGGACTACTTATATCCAATACAGCAGATGATTGAGAATATGGAGAAAATGGTAGGAGAAAAAAAGAAAGAAAGCAAGCAGGAGTCATATAAAATTTACAAGGCAAATAACATAATCATATAATAAATAATATGGCAAAAGTATTGGGGAGAAGAAAGGAAGGGAAGTGTTGATGATGCTAGTAAATCAGCAGGTATTCATGATCATGAGGAGTGGGTACTTTGTATCTAGAATTGTTATTGTTATTATTATAACATGTAAATGTTATTTACATTTTTGTGAATGTAAAAGGTATGATACACAACCTTATGTCTCTCACCTATTGGTATTTCAAATATCAAGCTAAGAAGGAGCAGGAACAATTCCATAAAAAATAAATTATAAAAACCTATATGAATATGAAGAAAATTCTCATAAATATGTTTGCAGCATTCATCAAAGACCTTCCAATGACTTGCAGAATAAATTAGTCAAAAGTCATGAAGTTGGTAGATTAAACTATAATTTCAAAAAAAAAACCCATAAACAAAAGATTGTATGGAAAAATAAAATGAAATAAGATCTTTGTTAATTAATTTAACATAGGCCTGTAACAGAAAAAAAAAAAAAAAAAAAAAAAAAAATAGAAAATTAAAAAAAAAAAAAAAAGCCTTTCAGAAAGTRATGATGATTTCCAAAACTTAGTATTTTCAGCTCTTCTATGGCACTATACGTCTGTTGTTCCTTGRTCACAATTTTTAATTAGCTATATCACTAGAAGAAATATGAAAAATAATTAAATTGAAAACTTTTTGTCAGTGAGAAAGCTATTTCATATAAGCTACGGATCATGGCATGCTTCTATGACCATAAAATCAGAGCCTCTTAAGTACTGCAGGTATTTTGAAGGCATACATAATTCAAGAGTGTGTCCAAAGAAGGACAACACAGGTGGTGAAGGGGCTGGAGCACAGTCCTTATGGGGAGCCATTGAGGGAGCTGGGGTTATTTAGTGTGGAGAAGAGGAGGCTCAGGGGAGACCTTATCGCTCTCTACAACTACCTGAGAGGAGATTGTAGTGAGTCAGGGGTCGATCTCTTCTCCAGAATAACTAGAGACAGAACAAAAGGAAATGGCCTCAAGTTGTGCCAGGGGAGGTTCAGGTTAGATACTAGGAAGAATTTCTATACGCAGAGTAGAGAAGCACTGGAACAAGGTGCCCAGGGAAGTGGTAGAGTCACCATCCTTGGTAGTGTTGAAGCAATGTGTAGAGGAGGCATGGTTTACGGTTGGACTAAGTGATCTTAAAGGTCTTTTCCAACCATAATGATTCTATGATTCTAATCTTTTATTATTCTTCCAAGTCTTACAACACTACAAGAAGGAATTTATTTATATTTCTCCCATTGTACTTCCCATTTTCAGAGAAAGTATTATGGCACATTGCCACGATGAAGGTTTTCAAACGTGTTTTCTCCTTATTCTTCTACTTGTCAGAGTTTTTCTGTCCTACAACTGAACCAGTAGAACTAGCTCACTCCCTATACAAGCAATAATAGGAAAATAAAAGCATTTAGTAGCAGAAAAGGCAGCGGGGGGCAGAAGAGAAATATAAAAAATTTGCTTTCCATTGATTGAAACATACTACTGACTAGTTGAATGAAAAACAGCAAGGAAGGGATCATTTAAATATCGAGATTCTGCAGTGTGGACACCCAGAAGAATCAGTAGCATACACACACCCTTCCAGGTAAGAAAAACAGGCACTTTAGGACACTTAGGATCTTAATGTTGAGCAAATGCCTGAACTATGGTCCTTAGGTAGTTTGTTTGGTTCCAAAAGAAGCTTGAGGCAAATAGTCCAAAGATGCCTATGGTTTAGTGCAACATATCTCACAGAAAATACTGTCTTTGAGAATCATGGAAGATAATTACTGGACAGGAATAGAGTAATATGCTCCTGGATCCAAATATCTTTATGTAAATTTTACTATATTTGAACTACTAAAGACTTGAGCTGTTGAAATGTGCTTAGACATTAACTAATACTAAGAAACAGCCACTTGTGAAAGGCACGAGAGTTATTACAAGACTTAATCAGGAAAACTCTGAAGTGCAGCCATGTATCGGTGCTCATATTGTCTGACTATAACATAGAAATGCCACATTCTGAAGGCTTTATTTCAACATCTTCTAAAGAATCATCTCAAGTTCCTCCTCATCATTTTAAGCACAGTTTAATGTGGTAGCCAGCATCAAATCCTAATATATTTTTAGCAAATACTAGTTTGATTTCTAAAACCCTGCTAGCTGTCTTGATATCAAGGGTGGAATTCACCTCACTAAATGC